GTTGGTGGGAATGTAAACTGGTACAGCCCCTCTGGAAAACAGTGTGGAGGTTCCTCAGGAAACTAACAATAGAACTCCCCTATGACCCAGCAATAGCACTGCTAGGAATTTACCCAAGGGATACAGAAATGCTGAGGCATAGGAGCACATGTACCCCAATGTTCAAATCATATGGATTTAATCAGAGCTGCTGATGAAGGTTTATATGTAAAGATATCTGCTGAAACATTATTTCTGAAAGACAAAAAATGGAAATAAATGTCCCACAATATAGAATTAAAAAATCAATTATAAGATAGTCATATGATACATTACTATGGAGTCATCAACGGGTTGATTTTGAAAAATATTAAAATGACAAATATGATTTATAGTTAAAGGGAAGCTGCAGTTAATGATTATGACATCATCCAGATGTCATATTTTTAATGATAACTGTATACCAGACATTCTGGGTGCTTCATGCACATTATCTCTTTTAACTATCACACCAATCTGTGGGACATGTATTTCTGTGATTCTTTTGTGAAGAGTACAGTGATGTGTAAATAGCAACTTTCTGAAGACATCAAAGCTGGGAGGCAGACTGTGAACCTAGTCTTGTCAATGGGAGAATGTGTATGCAGAGTGATGTTAACAGGTGTGCATGAAAACTCTAAGATTGTCAAGTCATTTATTATGTAAAGTCTCTTTTTATGGGGCTCTTACATACTAATCTATAGTGTTTATCCTCCAGGGGAAGGATCTAGTATGTGGATTCCTCAAGCTTTGTGGATGTGAGACCCATGTTTCCCAGGGAATGAACAGTTATTGGAAAGTGGGATACAATTGAAAGTGTTGAACTATGCCATATTACTTTACATATAACATTTAAAAAGTATGTATAGTGGGGTGCCTTGGTGGCTCAGTCAGTTGAATGTCTGACTCTTGATTTTAGCTCAGGCCATGATCTCACAGTTCTTCAGTTCAAGCCCCACGTCCGGCTCTGAGCTGACTACACAGAACCTGCTTGAGATTTTCTTTGTCCTTCTCTCTCTGCCCCTACCCACACGTGCTCTCTCTCTCTCTCTCCTCTCTCTCTCTCTCTTAAACTTTAAAAAATACTTTAAAGAAGTATTTATGGAAAAACAAATATTGAAAGGATCTATACTAGATAGCTTATAGTTTTTATCTTTGTATGGTAGGATTGCAAGCAATTTTGTTTATATGTATCATTTTTCCATATTTCTGTATTTCACATAATGAAAAAAAATTTTACAGATCTTCCTGGACTGGCGATAGCGTTACATCCTGATAAACTCATCCTAAGTTGAAAATATTGTTAAGTCACAAAAGCATTTAACTCACCTAAATTTGGAAACATCATAGCTCAGCCTCACATACCTTAAACCTGTTCAGAACACTCACATTAGCCTATAATTGGACAAAATCATCTAACACAAAGCCTGTTTTATAACAAAGTGCTGCATATCTCATGTAATATCTTGACTACTGTACTGAAAGTGAAAGACGGAATGGCTGAACAGATTACAGAATGGTTGTGAACGTCTAGGTTGTTCACCGTTGTGAAAGCACGGCTGCCAGGAGCTGCAGCAGCTGCCACCACCCAGCTCCATATTGTAAGACATATCGCTAGCCCCAGGAAAGATCTAAGTTCAAAATCTGAGGTGCAGTTTCTACTAAATGCCCATTGCTTTCACACCATCATAAAGCTAAAAAAATCATTGAATCTTCATAAGTCAGGACCATCTTTATTATGATACAATTTTTTTAAAACCAAAAGAAACCCCATATTTTATTGCTTTTTTGTTCACATGGCTTACCCTATAATCTCTATGCTGATGATTTCCAGCTTTGTATCTCCAGCTCTATGCATTTACCTTTACCACCAACATTGTCTGTTTGCTTGTATTTCTCAAATGACCCACCGTATTGCTATATTACTATGATGTCCTCCACTGATCCTTCCTTCGAATCATCCCTTGTCCTTTCTGCATGGTGCCTTTTGTATTATGAGTGTCATCATTCTCAAACACTTTCAGGGTAGAATCTTGAGTATAGTTTCTGTGTTGAGCTCCTCCATTGCCTGTTCCTACTGTATTATCATCTTCAGTTGATTCTTTCTGGACAGTTCTCTTAGAACTGTCCTTTCTCTCCAACCCGTTACAACAACCTTTGAGTTTTATTTAACATGTTTCAAGTACTGTTTTCATTATATCACCCTCCTGCTCAGGAATCCATTGTAGCTTCTGCTTGGCCCACACTGGCTGGCTTATTTTTGGGAGTACCCAGCAGCTGTCTGCTCCAGTTGTTAGTCTCCTCACTTGTCTTTAGGACACAGCTATTCCGTACTTTTCGCTTTTATTAGTGTTTATTCTTGGCTTCAGACCTTCATGTAGTTTCCTTTCCTGTAATGCCTTTTCTCTCTTTCTTGCCTTTCTAAATTTTCCATGCAAGGTACAAGATGAGCCCCCCTGCCCTGAGGGGAATACTTCCTGATAATTATTCTCTAACAGGTCCGCAGAATATGCTTAGAAAGACATGATCCATGTGACCTAAGATCTAACACTTTCAGAACGGTGGTACAGTCAGAGGAACTCTGGGAAGCAATTAAAGTATTTCAGAATAACTCAATATATTGAATCATACTTGTGAAACATTGCAGTGTGAATTCCTGGACCACCATCATGTGGCCTTAAAAATCTCCACCTTTCCATCCATTTCCCTTGCATATACTTGCTGTTTCTGTATGTTTTTCACCTCAAATTATTCTTCAAAACCCCATTCCTCACTTTAGCAACTAAAATGAACTGTTCAGGAAAACACATAGG